ATTTACAGAAATGTGTGAAGATTTTAGGCAGTAAAAGTAAAATAAGGATACTTTCAGATACATTTATTTTTTTATCAAATAGAGTACCAGATGCAAGCTTTCCTTTAAAGATACTCGAAGGATGTGTCTTGATGCAATCTAAGTAATACAGATAATGAAATCTCAGGAAGTTCATCTGTTCATCTGGACGCAGAGTTTTAGGAGGGAGAAATGTTTCAGACTGAAGTCCCTGATATGAGTGACAAATATTTCTTCCTCCTAGAACTCGGCATCCAGATGAACAGAATCAAGTACAAGATACAAGTTGTTACAAAGAAACAACATTAAATATGAAGGAGAAGTGTAAAAACTCCTCAGCTGGCAGAGCTGAAGGCAGAGAGGAGACACAGAGACAGCCAGTGGGGGGGAAAACTATTTTTGTCAATGTCAGTTTTATTTTACAGCACATTTAAAACAATAAGGGAGGTTTTAACCCGCTCCAAAGGAAAGCTCGGCAGTGACCAAACATTATCCAAATAGAATTTTTTATCTTTTCCAGCCAATTTTGTAAATTGTGGTTTTATTTAATCATAACTGGTACTTCTTTTTTTAAAATCAAATGCTCAAATGCATAGCCAAACCCTGCAGAAAGGGATCTTTGCATTGAGAGAAACTTCAGAGAGCTTCTTGAAAATGTTCTGGTGCTGAGTTTAAAAGTGATTGAACCTCTTGAAATCGAACTAAAGTGTAACAAAGGTGTTTAACAGACAGTCAGAGGACTCTCCATCCAGCACCAGAATCATTTCAGGACCCATTAGATCCCTCCATCCTTGTGTTTTCCTGTGGATAAGAATCAATACTAAAGTGCTTTGTTCCGTTGTTGGGCGTGACTTCCTGTAAAGTCCTTCTTTAAACTCTGTTATGCTTCTCTTACAGATGAGCCACTACCTCACGGTCCCTGCAAAGCGCCAGGAGACGCCCCCTGTGAGAAAAGTATTTTTTCAACCAGGTCAGTCTAAGAGCCAGTTTAAAGCACGATTTTAAAATGCTTTATGAGAATGAAAATTATGTTCAGGGCTTTAAAGTCACGCATTGTTTTGAGTTTTGTGCTGCTGGATTCTTTTGGAACATTTGAGCAGCTGTGTCCTGCTGTGGGGTGCAGACCTGGAAGTCTGTGCATCAATACAATACTTTTCTTTTCCACACGGGATATGTCCTGTTCAATGATGCAAATATTTTGCATTAAACAGAATGAGTCTTATGGGGATCGATAAAAGGATACCTTTTGTCTTCCACTGTGTCTGCCCTGGATCTTTTCTAATCATATTAGCTTGTGTTGGGTATCATATTTAGCTACAAGAATGGTTTAGGATTTTAAAATGGAATAACCAGATTATTATAAACATTTACACCTAGAGGAAAATTAGATTAAGTGGATGAGGTTGCACATTTTTAATAACTGTGCAAATGTGC